CCCCCCCTCCCCGTCTCCGGGGGAGGACCAGCCACGGGCAGACGTAGCAGAGATGGAGATGATACCAGAGGAGACCATGGTGGCTGAGCCAAGAGCAGGTCCAACTGCCCCATCCGCCCTGGGGGACCTGCAGCCCTCGGAGCTCCCTGGCACCCCACAGGAGAGGACATTGCCCAGTGCTACAGGGCAACCCCCAGATCCTGCTGGGGTCAAGGAGCAGCCTGGGGGGCAACCATCCTTGAAAGAGGAAAAGCCACCCCCCAGCCCCTACCTCACCTCTGATTTTGGGAAGGAAGACCCTTTTGAGATACTGGGTAAGGCCATGAAGTGCCTGCCTTGTCCTTGCCCGTCTGGACCTTCTATGCTGCCAGCTCCTGCCCTTGGCTCGTCACCTGCCTGGTGGCCTTTGAGCTCCCCCTTCACTGTAAACAGGGCTAAATGTGTCATGTCCTCTCCCGGACTGCTCCGACCACATTGACCGTGAGGAAGAGAAGCCTGGGGAGTGACAGTGACCTTCTGGCTGGTGGCAGGGGACAGCATGTCCCTGTGTTCTGCACCACTGTCTTTGTGGGGGTGGCAGGGCCAGGGGGCAGTGGGTGCTCCTGGGGTTCTCTGTGAGGCTGGTTTCTGCCCTCAGCTGGGGAAGGGTGTCTCAGGACCGAGTGCATAGGGTGCCCCGTGCATGGGGTCTGTCCTGGAAGAATGAGGAGAAGGTGGTGGCGTGGAGGGGGGTGACTTGGAGAGGGTGACAGGCAGCAGCGTGGCCTGGAGAGGGCGAGCGTGACACGCGGGATGGTGAGGGCGGGTGTCACGGAGCAGGATGGGTGCCCAGGAACAAGGTGTCATGCAGCAGGGCAATGCTGCTGGCAGTAATGGGGGACCCTTCAGGGGATGTTGCATTCCCTGATGCAGCCCAGCACTCAGTACCTGGCCACATCCTGCACCCATGGGCTTGGCTCAGTGCCTGCTTTCACCCCACACTGGGGCACCCTGGGGTGCCCAGCAGTGGGATCCTCTAGCTAGCAACTTCCCTTCTCACCCCATCCCTCCTCTCTGGGCAGATGACATCCCTCCACCTCCAGCACCCTTCCCGCACCGCACCGTCACACTGCACTCTGCCAGCGTCAGCTCCCTGTTCAGCCTCAACTCCAAGGACATCCTCGGAGGGTAAGGAGGAACCCCAGGAGGGTGGAGGACAACCAACTTTCCCTGATGCTGCCCCGAGCTGCCCTCCAGCCTTGGGTACTGGCTCTGGGTTGATGGGACTCCTCTGGTCAGTGGACTGGGTGCCTCGGGCAGGATGGATGCAGAGGGAAGCGTGGGGCAGCACTCTAGAGCAGTGTGGGGGACCTAACACAGTGCAGGAGCCCCAGCAGCCTGGGTAGCTGATGGTGTGTGGGTACCTCTCCCTCTCTCCCCAGGGGCAAGTTCGGTGAAGTCCACACATGCACTGAGAAGCAGACAGGGCTCAAGCTGGCAGCCAAAGTAATCCGGAAACAGGGAGCCAAGGACAAGGTCTGACCAATGCTGGGCAGGGGGATTCTCTTGGCAACGGTGGGATGGCTGAGGTGGGGGGTGACAGTGTTGTGCCCTGTGTGCCCCTGGTGCTGTGACACAGCCTGTCCCAGTGGCACAGCCAGAGCTGACACCCCACACCACTGTGGGGCTCCTTCCACAGGAGATGGTGCTGCTGGAGATCGATGTGATGAACCAGCTGAACCACCATAACCTCATCCAGCTCTATGATGCCATTGAGACGTCCCGGGAGATCATCCTCTTCATGGAGTTGTGAGTGCTGGGGCAGTGTCACATGAGGTCTGATGCCTGGGTGACCATCACAGGGCATCAGAGGTGGAGCAGACATGCTGGCCCTGACCAAGCAGAAGCAGTTGGCCCCAGGGAATGTTCCCTCCTTGGTCATCCCTTCTTGGGCACCTCCACAGCTTGCTCCAGGCTCAGAGGCAGCCTTGGGCTCTGCTTGGCTGGGACAGCATCTCCCTCTTTCACAGTTGCATTGAGGGTGAGGATGACCCAAGTCCTTCCTACACAGATCCCTTACCCCTGCCCCCTTGCTCTGGGAAGGTTGGGGCTGTGCTGGGGCTGCTCTGCTCTATGAAACCCAGGGCAGCTGGGGTGTCCTGTGGGTAACGTCCCTGTGCCTGCCTTGGGAGTATTCAATCCCAGCAAGCACACATCCTACCATGGCTCTGCTTACAGTTGCCATGGTGGAGCTGGGTCAGGGTCCTCAGGGGGACAGGGGATCCCCCCAAAGTGATCCCATGGTCTGTCCCCATGCAGTGTGGAGGGTGGTGAGCTCTTTGAGCGGATCATCGATGATGACTACCACCTGAGGGAGGTGGACTGCATGGTGTTCGTCCGGCAGATCTGCGAGGGCATCCGCTTCATGCACCACATGTGTGTCCTCCACCTCGACCTCAAGGTGTGGGGCTGGGGTATGATGATGAGAGGGGCTGGGGGTGATGGCAGGACAGCCACGGGAGGGATGCCTGAAGGTTGGCATTGCTCTGGTGTGGGTTAGCTGCAGGACCCACACAGTGGGGACGTCCCCTCTTGGCAATGGGGCAATGGTCACCCTGTCCCCACAGCCTGAGAACATCCTGTGTGTTGCTGCCACTGGGCATATGGTGAAGATCATTGACTTTGGGCTGGCTCGAAGGTGATGTATTCTCCCTCCTCCCTGTTCCCCTTCCACCCTCTGGACTCATGTGCCCTTGGGAGGCCAGGAACCCCTGCGCTCTGGCCCTGACTGCCCCAGTCCCTGCTTCCACTGGCTGGCACGGGAGGGTTGGTGGGGATAGTATCTGCTGGGGAAAGTGGCAATGGTTTGGGGGAGCATTGCTGACTCACTCTCCCTGGCTTCAGGTACAACCCCAACGAGAAGCTGAAGGTGAACTTTGGCACACCCGAATTCCTCTCCCCTGAGGTGGTCAACTACGAGCAGGTTTCCTACTCCACAGACATGTGGAGCATGGGCGTCATCACCTACATGCTGTATGTCAGGGCTGGGGGGGAGGCTGCCAGTGCTGGGCTGGGAGACTGGGGTGCTGGGGCAGAGCTCCCTGGGGTACAGAGTGAGTCACCCCCAGGCACCTGGCTGCTTGGTGGGCAGGTGGGGTTAGGGGCTGGAAGGCAGGAAGAGATTCAGCCCAACTGCAGGCAGGAGCACAGGGCACTGCCAGCAGTCCCATACCACCTCTCTGGGGCAGCCCTGGCCAGACTGGCTCTATTCTGGGGGGTCTGGGAGGTGCTGCAGCCTGAGAGCACCTGGCTCCTCATCCCCCTGCACTCCTAGGCTAAGCGGCCTCTCCCCGTTCTTGGGTGATGATGACACCGAGACACTCAACAATGTCCTCGCTGCCAACTGGTATTTCGATGAGGAGACCTTTGAGAGTATCTCCGATGAGGCCAAGGACTTTGTCTCAAACCTCATCATCAAGGATAAGAGGTGTGAGGCCAGTGGTGGCCATGGGGGTCCAGGGGTGGGTATCCCCAGAGGTGCCCTGGGTACCATACACTGACTGCACCAGAGCCAGCAGCATCCTCTGGGTCCTGCACCAAATGAGCCCCACAGGGCCATGCCCCATTGCTGTCTGTCCCCAACAGAGCCCAACAGCTCTCCAGGGACACCTGCCCCAAGCAGGATCTGCTTGATGTCTTGGGTTCCTGCCCAGTGCCACCAGCCCCTGGGCCCATCCCTTTGGTTCATTCCTCCCTGCATGTTTCTGGGGGTTTGGGGCTCTTGGGTGGCTGGAGAAGGGGTGGTTGGGGGGGAGGGTCTTGAGCAGGGATGACACAGGCTCCTTTCATCCCCAGTGCCCGGATGAGTGCTGACCAGTGCCTGCAGCATCCCTGGCTCAACAATCTGGCAGAAAAGGCCAAACGCTCCAACCTGCGCCTGAAGTCACAGGTGCTGCTCAAGAAATATGTCATGCGGCGCCGCTGGAAGGTACAGGTGGCCAGCACAGGGATGAGGGTCAGCATCTTCCGAGGGGGCTGAGAGATGGGCTGCCAGCCTCTGCCAATCCTGGCAGATGGCACCTGGGACATGGATGATGGCTCTGTCTCACTGTGCTGTTGGCAGCTGGAACATAAGGGCTGAGCCTGGAGGGAGGGCTCCCCAGCACCAGAGTCCTTGTGTGGGTGCCCCAAGGTGGGACTCCACCAAGCATAGGTCCCTTCATGGTGGTCTCTCCTGAGCAGATCCCAATAGCAGCTTTTTGGGGCAGGAGTGATGTCAGGACAGTGTACGGGATGATCCCAGGGTCAGCCTTGCCCTATCCCAGTAGTGGGTGCCTGGCTCTTCCCCAGCCCCAGAAGCAGCATTGGCTCAGCCTGCAGAACTGCAGTCCTTGCCACAGGATGAGCATCTCTCTTCTCCTCTTTTACAGAAAAACTTCATTGGAGTGTGTGCTGCCAACCGCTTCAGGAAGATCACCAGCTCAGGGTCCCTGACAGCGCTGGGTGTCTGAGCAGGGGCTCCTGGGGGAGCTGAGGCCAGAGAGGAACCACTTGTGGATGTCCCCCATCAGTCTTGCTTTTGGATGGCACCAGGACCTTGTTGGGGTCTTGACTTCCCACTGTGGGGCCAGAGGCTGGAGTGTATAGCCCCCTCCCTGCCTGTGCTGTGCAAGATGCTGCTCTGGTGTCCGTGTCACACCCCTACTCCGTGCCACTGTCATCATGGAGGTGCTCTGCTGCGTCCCCAGGGCTGTGCCCTACCTGGCACCCAGCTCAGGGGCCAGGACCCTGCCTGGATCCTCACCTGGAGCAGTTCTGCCAAGCTCGTCCCACCCCAGGTGGCATCACTGTGCTCAGGACCTGCTGCTGCTAAGGGTGCTGCCAGCAACCTCTGGGGCTCCCAGGGCTCCAGTCCTCTCTGCTCCCATCAAGTCAATGCTGCCATCAGGATTTCCTCAGACTCTGAGTCTTCTCTGGAGTGGAGATTTACCATCTCATCCCTGGCCTGGCTGTGTGATGCCCAACCCGCAGCGTGTGTGCTCTGCTCACACTTCCTTCCCATGCCCTCAGAGGAGGAAGGCCATTCCGGTGTGACTCCACTGCCTCAGCCACCTGGTGCTTGCTGCTCTTGGACCTATACTGTGCCTGTTCTGCCTGTAAATGCCGCAGCCCTGCCCTGCCTTCGCTGCTGCTGCCCCCCCTGTGCTGCCCGACTTCCCTCCCCAGCTCTGTGGCTCGGTGATGATGTTGAAGGGCACTGTGGACCTCACCCCGGCTCCTTGGCACCGGAGCTGTGGCCAAAGTACCTCCTCCCTGGCCAGCTGGG